TAGCAATCTACCTTATTACCCATAGCTCCATTTCTGGCTTTTTGGTGATTAGTAATGGGAGATAAATCTCACAGCCAGGCTTGGGTAGCTCAGACCTGTCATCCTAGCTGCTTGGGAGGCTGAGATCTGAGGATCATGACTTGAAGCCAGATAGGAAAGTCCTTAAGACTCTTAACTCCAAAAAGCCAGAGTAAAGTTGTGGTTCAAGTGATAGAGTGCTAGCCTTGAGCAAAAGACATTCAAGGACAAAGTCCAGGCCCTAAGTTCAAACCCCAGGACCAGCACCAAAATAAGAGTCTCATAGGGGCTGGGAATATCATTTAGTGGTAGAGTGCTTGCCTAGCATGCATAAAGTCATGGGTTTGATTACTCAGTACTACATAAACAGAAAAGGCTGGAAGTGGCGCTGTGGCTCAAGTGGTAGAGTGCTAGCCTTGAGGAAAGAAGCTCAAGAACAGTGCCCAGGCCTTGAGTTCAAGCCCCAAGACTGGCAAAAAAAAAAAAAAAAAGACAATACTACTATAGACCAAGTGGCTGAAATAACAACTGTTTATTCATTTTTTTCTTTCTTTTTGTTGGTAGTTGGGCTTGAACGCAGGGCTGGGTGCAGTTTTTGAGCTTCTGTGTGGTCAAGGTTAGTGCTCTACCACTTGAACCACAGCACCACTTCCAGTATTTGAGTGGTTAATTGGAGATAAGAGTCTCACAGGAACTTTCTACCTGGGCAAGCTTCCAGTAGCGATCTTCAGATCTCAGCCTCCTGAGTAGCTAGGATTACAGGTGTGAGCTACCAGCATCTGCTTCAATGCTTATTCGGATAGTTTTAGTTCTGTCTCACTGTTACCCAGATGTGAGCTACTGGTGCCTGGCTGGTGGAGGTTAGCATTTCAAATTATGAGTGTGATTCATCAAACATCATTATTCACCAATCTTGGTACTGTTAATTTCACTTGCTGTTAAACCCACACAAATGGAGACAGAGGGGCACCACACATTGAGATATTGAAGGTCTTTTATTTTTTATCTTTTATTTTTATTGTGAAAATACTGTACAGAGGGGTTACAAATACATGGGCAAGATAATGAGCACATTTCTTTTTTTTTTTTTTTTGGGTCCGGTCATGGGGCCTGAATTCTGGGCCTGGGTGCTGTCCCTCAGCTCTTCAGCTCAAGGCTAGCGCTCTACCACTTGAGCCACAGCGCCACTTCCGGTTTTCTGGTGGTTTATTGGAGATAGGAGTCTCACGGTCTCTCCTGCCCGGGCTGGCTTTGAACCGTGATCCTCAGATCTCAGCCTCCTGAGTAGCTAGGATTACAGGCGTGAGTCACCAGCGCCCGGCAACCACTTCCAGCTTTTTTGTTTTATAGGAGATAAAATGTTTCACAGACTTTCCTACTCCAGCTGGCTTGGAAGAATGATCCTCAGATCTCAGCCTCCTGAGTAGCTAGGATGACAGGCATGAGCCACCAGTGTTCAACTGCATATATTGAAAAGGAGACTGGGTCTAAGCTTCCCCTAGGTAATTAGCCATTGATTTTCCCTGATTGTTTCCCTAGATGGTTTGCTTTTATTTAACATATCTATTAGGTTTAAGTGTGCTCATCTGGTTTGCTTTGCTCACATATAACACTTTCATTGGATTTTATTCCATGTACCTTGTGTGGTTTTAGCCTGTGTTAGCTTTGTGCTAGCTGCTGGTCTTTGTGGGACAAGAATCCACCAGCCATCTACCAACTCTCCAATAAAGACTCATAACTTGGTCTTTTAAGTGGTCTTCTCTGTTTCTTGTGACTAGGTTTCCTTGCAACAATATCTCTTAATGAAACAAAAGTGTCAGCTAAAGGGCTCACAACCTACATAGGAGGTTAAACAGGAGTGAGTCATAGCTCAACAATTTGATCTAGCGATATATTTTCTCTTTGGGCTCCTGATTTTTCCTTTATCTTGGAAACTGCATGGCCCTCCGCTGAAAAACTAGAGTCAGGGCTAAGTCAGGAATTTCCCTGCTAGCAGGCTGGGTATGGTGGTTCACACCTGTAATCCCAGTTCTCATGAGGCCTTGAGGGAGAATTGCAATCCTCAAAAGTGCTCTACTACTTAGTCCTGGCCATTTTGGGTTTAATTATTTTTCAAGTAGGGTCCCAACTTGATCCTAGGACAACCTTGAACCACAGTCCTCTTACCAATGCTTCTGGCTACATAGCTCAAGTGGAGAGGGCTAGCTTTGAGCAAAAGACCCTTAGGGAGAGGCTGGGAAGGTGGCTCAGTGGTAGATTGCTTGACCTTGAATGGATGAGGCCCTGGGTTCGATTCCTTAGCACCACAGAAGCAGAAAAAGCCAGAAGTGGCGCTGTGGCTCACAGGGCTAGCCTTGAACTGAATAGCTGAGGGACAGTGCCCAGGCCCCATGACCGACAAAACACACACACACACACACACACACACACACACACACGCAGCTCAGGAGGGAAGGAAAGAGAAAGAAAGAAAAGGAATGGCTTCTCTTACCTCTAAGACTTTTCAGAGCTGAGTGAATAAAAAGCGCCCCCCCCCATCTGTGAGAATCAGGCGATGTTACTTAGACCCAGTAGCCTTATATATTTGTGCTTGTTATTACGGTTATTGTTTTTGTTTTGGATTCCAGGTGTGTAAGGGCTCTCCTCCCAGGCTGACGAACAGTTTGTGGAAGAAGTTTGTAATCCAGTGTTTGGAGAACTGTAAAATGGTGACATTATCACTATTTTTAGGCATGGAAATTTGGCCGGGGAATGTTTAAAAGCAAGTTAATTGTTTCCAAATTAATTGATCATTAACAAGAAGCCCACATGGGTGTGGATTTCCTTGTCCTTCCATGGAGCAGGCTGGTCAGACCTGAAAAGATTTCATCAGACAGATCGTGAATAAACGGGGTTATGAAAACTGGCCTGGGGCCTTAGAAGGAGAAGAGACCAATGGGTTTCATCAGGGCAGGAGTTTTGGTTTTGCAAGATGCAAAATGTCTGGAGACAGATTGCACAAGGCTGTGGCTAGACTCACCATTACCGCATGATAGCCTTGGAAATGATTAAAGTGGTAATGTTTATGCTTTGGATATCTGGTCATATGTTTGAGAAATGACGCTATCATCATTTTGCTGTCAGATGGGCACCAGCAGCTCACATGTGTAATCCCAGCTACTCTGGAGGCTGTGATCTGAGGAGCACAGTTTGTAAAGTTGTCAAGTTGTATGCCCGCTCATCTGTGTGTGTGTGTGTGTGTGTGTGTGTGCGTGTGCGCACGCGCGCGTGTGTGCGGGCACGTGCGCACATGCACATGTGTGTGTGTCAGTACTGAGGCTTGAACCGTGATCCTCCAGTTCTCACTTGCTTGGCTCTTTCCACTCAAGGCTGGAATGGAGCTCCTGCTTGAGCCCCAGCTTTGCTTCTGGCTTTCTTGCTGGGTAATGAGAGATGAGAAGACCTAATCTTCCTATCTCCTAGGACTCCTGGGATGTCTAGATGTCCAGCCTGCTGATCCCTTGGGATTGAAGGGGCATCCTTGTAGCCAATGCATCTCCCAGAACCCAGAATTCTTTTTGTGTATGTGTGCTGGTCATGGGGCTTGAACTCTGGGCCTGGGCGCTGTCCCTCAGCTCTTCAGCTCGAGGTAAGCGCTCTACCACTTGAGCCACAGTGCCACTTCCTGTTTTCTTGTGTGGTTTACTGGAGATCAGAGTTTTACGGACTTTCCTGCCTGGGCTGACTTTGAACCTCGATCCTCAGATCTCAGCCTCCTGAGTAGCTAGGATGACAGGCATGAGCCCCCAGTGCCTGCAAACCCAGAAGTCTTTACTCCAGACTCTGAGGACCAAGACGTCTCCCCGTAATGATGCTCATATACCCAAGAAAACTACATTTCCCATGAGGTTATGGGGCCTCAGGGCCAAAAAAACAAAAACAACAACAAATACCCTAGCTGGGTGCCAGTGGCTCATGCCTGTCATCCTAGTTACTCAAGAGGCTGAGATCTGAAGATCACAGTTCAAAGCCAGCCCAGGCAGGAAACCCTGTGAGACTCTTACCTCCAATAAACCACTAGAAAACCAGAAGTGGTACTGTGGCTCAAGCGGTAGAGCGCTCATCTTGAGCTGAAGAGCGCAGGGATAGCGCCTAGGCCCAAGGGTTCAAGCCCCATGACTGACAGAAACAAAACAAAAAATCCTATTGATTTTTTTTTTTTTTTTTGTCTGTCATGGGGCCTGAACTCTGGGCCTGGGCGCTGTCCCTCAGCTCTTCAGCTCAAGGCTAGCGCCCTACCACTTGAGCCAAAGTGCCACTTCCAGCTTTTTCTGCTTATGTGGTGCTGAGGAATCGAACCCAGGGCCTCATGCATGCAAGGCAAGCACTTTACCACTGAGCCACCTTCCCAGCCTCCCTATTGATATTTTTGAGGCACCTCTGAGACATAGCTCCACATTGCATCCACAAGAAGGTAAAGATGGATGATCAATCCTGTCCTGTTAGGGCTGGGATAAATCAGTCACTGGTGGTTCAAACCTATAAGTCTACCAGTGCAGGAAGCTGAGATCTGAGGATTGTGGCTCAAAGCCAGGAAAATTCATTAGACTCTTATCTCCAATGAATCATCAGAAAACCGGAAGTGGTGCTGTAGCTCAAAGTGAGAGAGCACCAGCCTGGAGCACAAAGTTCAGGGACAGCGACCAGGCCAAGTTCAAACCCAGGACCATCAAAAAAAAAAAAAATCAAGGACAGTCCTGGAGACACTGGGATCATCTTGTCCGAGGTGGGCCCTGGGGCAGCTGGGACCAAGGGCCATGAAGGGGTGGGGAGGGGGGGGTCCCAGACTCAAGGAGACACCAGAAACATTGTCACTTTCACCTTCAAATCCTGATGCTCCCCTCGCAGACTCTTTATTACTCAAGTAAGAAAAATACAAAAATAAATAAGATAAATACCCCCCCATAAATAAGAGGAACCCCCAAAACATGTGGACTGTGGCTTCAGGATGCATAGCTGGGGCTTCGGCCCTGCAACAGTCCCACCATACTCAGAGGGTCGGAGGAGCCGACATCAGGGGGTTCGGGAGCCAGGATCCCGGGGGGCTCCGGCGGTGCGGGGGGCACACCAGGCAGGGGCAGGAAGCGGGCTGGCCCCCAGGGTGCTGGATCCTGGGGAGGCAGGCGCAGGGGGAGACCCAGGGCTTCAGAACGGTAAATGTTGTATCCATCTTCCAGAAGCAGCTCCTGGAAGCTGCAAACCTCAGGGTCAAAGTGGAGCTGGGGGAAGACAGGAAAGAGGAGTTAGAGCCTCTCACTTCCTTTCATTCAGCCCTGAGGCCCAGATCCCAGCTCTAGGTCCAGGCTCCAATCATTCTGTCTCCAGGAACCAGGACTGTATGGGTGGATTTTATTTATTTATTGTCAGTCCTGGGGCTTGAACTTGGGACTTGGGTGCTGTCCCTGGTCTTATGCTCAAGGCGAGTGCTTGACCACTTGAACTACACCACTTCCAATTATTCTAGTGGTTCACTGAAGATCAGCATCTCGTGGAGTTTCTTCCAACTGCCATCCTTAGATCTCAGCCTCTTGAGTAGCTAGGATTATAGGCATGAGCCGCCAGCAGCGCCCAGCTCATAGGTGGTTTTTTCTTTTCTTTTTTTTTTCGGTCGGTTGTGGGGCTTGAACTCTGGGCCTAAGCGCTGTCCCTCAGCTCTTCAGCTCAAGGTGAGCACTTGAGCCATAGAGCCACTTCCAATTTTCTGGTGGTTCACTGGAGATAAGAGGCCCACGGACTTTCCTTGCCTGGTCTGGCTTTGAACTGCAATCCTCAGATCTCAGCCTCCTGAGTAGCTAGTATGCCAGGCGTGAGCCACAGGTACCCAGGCTCATAAGTGGATTTTTGCTGTCCCCAAGGCTGTTCTAGAGAAGAGGTCAGCCGTCAGGCAAGGCTGTCATAGGCCAGGCAGAGCGCCTTCACCTCTGCCCATCTCCCATGGCCACTTATAGACCATGGACCACCGCCTCTGGGGCCCCATATCAGGAGCTCTGGTGGCAGGTCCCACAATCCTAGTCACAGGATGTAGCCTCCAAGCCTATCCCTAAACTTCCTGCCTGAGCCTGGTCTTGCAAATTCTGATAACCATCACTCCCCCCTCACAAGGGGCAGGAAACCAAGGCTAGCCAGAACCTAGTGAGCAAGACACCTGATCATGGGATGACAGAGAAGTGTGCAGGATGGAGGTTCAGGCAACTTACTGATCCATACAGTGTCCCGTCTGGTCTCTGGCATAAGAATCTGGATGTCTTGATCCCTAAGATTTGAATGACTCCTGGCTTCAAGGCTTTCAGCTCCAAGAGACCTGGGAGAGACCATGGGACAACCCTCAACAAAGCTGCTCCCAACCCAGTTACAACTATCCCAGATCCAGGGACCCCAGACCCTTCGCATCACCTTGCCCCCCTACTGGCTTAGTCTTCACACTTACTTTCAGGGCTCCGGTGGGCAGTCCCCACTACCGTGCCATCTGCCCTGATCTCCAGATGGGCTTCCGTCTCCTGAGTGTCATCTGTGTAGAGGTGCCGAAGCCGAACTTGACCCCCAAATTGGAGGAGGGGGCTGGAGTCAGGGATAGGCCGTGCCTTGCATGCTCCCAGAATTATGACAGCCAGCACAAGGCCCCCCAGCCCCCGGGCCCCAACCCTGGTCTTTGCCTGGTCCATCAACGGCAAAGGTGACCTGACGAGGTCCAGGTGTGCGTCAACTGGTCGAGATGATCGGGCCGAGGTCTCGTCTCCGACCACCTGAATGCCAGGTTGCCCTTCCGCCCGGATTCCCAGCTTCCACACCACCAATGCTCTGGGATGGATGCAGCAGCTCCGGAATTTATACCCACACCGACCTGCCCACGTGCCCTCTCCAAGCCTGATGCGTGATATTTGACCCATTTGGCAACAGCCAGAATTCCACCGTGGCCAGGATGGCCTGGGCAGACAGATGATGCAATGGCTGCTGGGAGGGGGTCCTTGGAGGTGCAGCTGCACTCCTAGGTGGGGGGGGAGGAAGGGGAGAACTTGATGAACTGGAACCTGGGTGAAGGGACCTCCTGGGTCTCAGGAGGGGAGGATGGGAGTTCTCAAGTCCTGGATCTGAGGGAGGAGGCTGGGGCCTGGGTTTCTGGATCTGAGGGAAGGAGGTTGGGGCCTGGACCCCTGGACTTGAGGATCTGAGGGAGGAGGCAGGGTCTGGACCCCCAGATCTGAGGGAGGAGGATGGGGTCTGGACCCCTGGATCTGAGAGAGGAGGCTGGGGCCTGGACCCCTGAATCTGAGGGAGGAGGCTGGGGTCTGGATTCCTGGGTCTAAGGGAGGTAGGTTAGGGCCTAGACCCCTGGACTTGAGGATCTGAGGGAGGAGGCAGGGTCTGGACCCCCAGATCTGAGGGAAGAGGCTGGGGCCTGGACCCCTGCATCTGAGGGAGGAGGCTGGGGTCTGGATTCCTGGGTCTGAGGGAAGGAGATTAGGGCCTGGACCCCTGGACTTGAGGGTCTGAGGGAGGAGGCAGGGTCTGGACGCCCAGATCTGAGGGAGGAGGCTGGGGCCTGGACCCCTAGATCTGAGGGAGGAGACTGGGGCCTAGACCCTTAGGTCTGAGGGAGTAGGTTGGGGCCTGGACTCCTGGGTCTGAACCCCTGGGTCTGAGGGAGGAGGCTGGGGTCTGGACCCCTGGACGTGAGGATCTGAGGGAGGAGGCTGGGGTCTGGATCCTTGGGTCTGAAGGAGGGGGGCTGGGACTGGACTTCCGAGGAAGGAGCAGGCTTTTCCCCCAAGTGTAACTCCCGTCCCTCTGATTTCAGCGGCTGGGTTGTGAAGGGACATGGCTCCGGGTGGGTTAGGCTGCCACTGCCTCGTTGAAGAACTGTCCTGAGCAGGTGTCACCTTCCAGCCTGGGCCTGGCCTTCGGCCAGCCTCAGCCTCACCAACGCTACCAACTACAGTGGGGACCCTACGGGGCCTGGGCTGTGTCCTCCCTGATGCAATCCCAGGGCTTCTTTCACCAGAGCCACAGGATCCCTGGGGCAGGTGCTCCCGAAATAACTAATGGGGCGGGGCAGACTGCTCACAGAGAAATCAGACTCAGAAATGGGCATGCTGTGTGTGTGTGTGTGTGTGTGTGTGTGTGTGTGTGTGTGTGTGTGACTCCTAGAGGCTCCTTCTGGAGGGTGCTGGAGCTGAGTTCCCAGATCTGAGGGAGGGGGTCCCTGGGTCTGCTGGGGCCTGGAACCCCTGGGTCTGGGACGCGAGCAGCAATGGAGATCTTGATGCAGGAGGGGCTGGGTGTAGGGAGGTCCTCGGACAATGGAAACAGGTCTTGCTGTGGGGTGGAGCTCAGATCTCTCTAGGGGCGCCACAGCGTGGAAGCAAGCAAGCATGAACCGTGTTTCCTGGGGGGGGGGGTCGCTCATTTCTGTCGCGTTCAGCAACGGTGGCTTTCGGTGCCAACCCTGCAGGAAGTCCTGTTGGCGGATGGTGCACCCCCCGACCCCAGGCAAGCTCGGAGGTGGGGGGGGTCAGGGCCTCTGGGTCTCTCGGCGTTCCGCGGGGCGACCCGGCTGATGATCCAGCCTGGGGGCTCCGGGGACCGGCCTGGAAAACAGGTTCTCTGTTCCTCGGACCGGGCGGGGCCCCGGTGGGAAGACCCTGCCCTCCACGGAGGCCAGGTGTCAGGGCGGGGCCGCCCGGGGTGCTGGGAGGGAGGGAGAGGAGGGAGGGGAGAGAGGGGCGGGAGGAGGAAGGGAGGAGGAGGAAGATGAGGAGGGGGAGAAGATAAGCATCGTCCAAGGACTGGAAGAGGGCCGGTTAGGGGTTCGGCCAGCCGCTGGGTCGGTCTTGGGCTGCCCGGGGCTGGGGATGGAGGGGGCCGGCTGCAGGCCTCACCCGATCTTGGGGTGAAGGCCCCGCCCTAGCCGGGGCGCCCCGCCCTCCGCACCCCATCAGAGCTGGGGCGGGACTCCCGGCTACCTGGCCGGCCCTGGAAGGTGGAGGTTCGGAGTTCGGCGGGGGGGGGTGATGGGGGGGTGAGGGTGGGGGCGGGCCACGCCCCGATTCCTGCTTGAGCTCCCGGGGAGCCAGCGCCGAGCCTGCCCATTCCCCACCACCACCACCCCGGAGCCGGGGCTCCGGATGCCGCCTCCTGTCCCCAGCCTCCAGGTGACCAGACCCGACCCCCACCCAGGACTCCAGGTGAGCCGGCCCGGGGAGGCCGTGTGGGGCCCTGGCCTCCTCCCACCGGGCGATCGCCCCTAGCCTCTCTCAGGAGTCACCCCCAGGTTCCCCGGCGCCTCCCCCCAAACCTCCAGCCTTGGTGTGTGGGGGGGGCTGGGGGCCTCCACGTGGGAGCTGCGGCTCCCACGCGCCCGGTGGGGCCCAGTGTGTCTCAGACAGGTACATGGGTGGGAGGTGGTTTTCCCTTTCGGGGCCTTCCATGTGGGGTTGTGCAAGGTTCCCAGAGGCCCCCCCCCCTTCCCCAGGCCCCGGACCCTCTGCTAACTTGGAAAGTGCACGTTTCACCCACCTTTTGCATGTGCATCCTGGGAGATGGAGTCTTGGGCTTCTCTGTCACCAGGGAGTTTTGAACTTCAGAGCTCTCCTCTCTGACCTAAGCCGGAGCTGCATCACCCTCTGAACTTCCCCTTTCCTTCCCTGCAGCCATGTGGGCCCCCAGCAGAAAGCACCTCTGCCTGGCCTTCCTGATTGTTTGCCTCCTGTCGGCCATGTCCTTCCTCCACCTGCACCAAGATGTGCTTCAGAACGCTCTCCACTTGTCTCTGCTGTGTCCAGACCGCGGCCTGACATCTCCGGTGGCCATTGTGTGCATGCCCAGATCACCGGGGATAGCCAACAGCTCATCTCCCAGTTCCCAGGACCTTCAGCCTCTCTCTGGCACTTGGACCATTTACCCCGATGGCCGGTTTGGGAACCAGATGGGGCAGTACGCCACCCTGCTTGCCCTGGCTCAGCTCAATGGGCGCCGGCCCTTCATCCTGCCTGCCATGCATGCCACACTGGCCCCCGTGTTCCGCATCACCCTGCCCGTGTTGGCCACTGAGGTGGAGAGCCGCACCCCTTGGCAGAACCTGCAGGTACATGACTGGATGTCAGAGGAATACTCCCACTTGAGTGAACCCTTTCTGAAACTGTCTGGCTTTCCCTGCTCTTGGACTTTTTTCCACCACGTGCGGGAACAGATCCGCAGGGAGTTCACCCTGCACGACCACCTTCGTGAAGAGGCTCAGTGGGTCTTGAGACGGTTCCGTCTGGGCCCCAACGGTCGCCACCCTCGGACTTTCGTGGGTGTCCACGTGCGCCGAGGGGACTACCTAGAGGTGATGCCTCATCGCTGGAAGGGTGTGGTGGGTGACCAGACTTACCTCCAGCAGGCCATGGATTGGTTCCGGGCACAGCACGAAGACCCCATCTTTGTGGTCACCAGCAATGGTATGGAATGGTGCCGGAAAAACCTCGACACCTCCCAGGGTGACGTGGTCTTTGCCGGTAATGGGCTGGAGAGCAACCCGGCATGGGACTTCGCCCTGCTCCTCCAGTGCAACCACACCATCATGACCATTGGCACGTTCGGCTTCTGGGCGGCCTACCTGGTGGGTGGGGACACTGTCTACCTGGCTAACTTCACCCTGCCCGACTCTGATTTTCTAAAGATCTTCAAACCAGAAGCTGCCTTCCTGCCCGAATGGGTGGGCATTAATGCTGACCTGTCCCCCCTGAGGACGCGTTTCCCAGGAAGCTTTCTGAATAAAGCCTGAGATGGAGCCAAAGCAGGTGGGTACCCACTTCTCAAGCAATTCTCATTGGCAAGCCTTCTGGAACTATCAGAATGCTATGACCCACAGGATATCATCTCGTGATGGCCAGCCCTGGCTGGCTGTTCTAGAAAGTTCAGTGTTCACCTGCTCTTCCTGGTTCATACTTCTGGGTGGCTGCACCCAGCAACAGGGAACAACACTTCCCCCTTCTTGACTGACCTGCTGCTTTTTCTAGAAGAGGAGCTTTTTCTCCCCTGCATCTTCAGGTAACAGAAGGAACTCAGGGTTTACCAAGAGCAAGCACCAGGGGAGAAATAACAGTTACCTGACCTCGCCTTACTGTACAGCAAGCACTTCTCAGTTCTTCTCATGTGTTTCTGGGAGTTTCTGATTTATTCTAGAGAAGGCCACGTCTCATGTCCTGTGAAAAAATCTTGCAGGACTTTGCCAGAGGGGACAGTAGATCACTGGGAGAGAATCTCATGAAGACACAACCAAAGCTCAATACTCCACTGCCTGAAAGATCTGGTAAAATAAGTCAGTCTCTAGCTGTGCTCACCACAGCCTCTGAAAGGGTTGGGCAGGTTGTAAGTACAGCTTATTTTTGCCCAGCCTTCACTTCCAAGAAAGCCTCAAAGAAATTGTCTAGGAGGATCAAAGAGGCTCAAAGAGGAAAGAGTTAAAGAGTTAACTGCCAGGCACTGATGGCCTATAAATCCTAGCTACCCAGGAGGCTGAGGTCTGAGGATCATGGTTCGAAGCCTGCCAGGCAGGGAAATCCATGAGAGACTAATCTCCAATAAATTACCAAAAAGCCAGAAGTGGAGCTGTGGCTCACGTGGTAAAGCACTAGCTTTGAGCTAACAAAGCCCAAGCCCTTAGTTCAAGCCCCAGGATTGGCGCGCGTGCGCGCGCGCACACACACACACACACACACACACACACACACACACACACACACTACACAGGAGCTACTCTTGGGATCCTGCACCTGAGATGCAGAACCTTGCAGAAATTCAAGGATTTTGATTTTTCTTTTTTAATGCTCAAAACTACCAAAGAGAATAAATGCACATCTAGGCTCTGGGTGTAAGATCAAGAAAGTTAACTCCTCAGTTCAGATGCTGGATGTTATCAGATTTGCAAGAAAGAAAAACAAAAACAAAAAACTAGAGGGCAATGTGTTCCTCCTTATCAACCATTGCCCACTGTCATGTGCCTCTTAGCTGCCCCAGCTCTCTGGCCCTGGCTCTTGGCAAGTCCAGGATGAACAGAGCAAGCCCTGCAGACCCCTGGGCTCAGCCCAAACGGGAGTACAGGGGCTGACCAGAAGGATGGGGTTTTTAACTCACACTTTCATGATCCCTTCCTTCCTGCTTTCTTGGGAGTGTGGAGGAAGAATACTGTGAAATGCAATCACAAAGCCTATGGGAAGAGGAGGGGCCCATCACCCATCAGGGATTTTCAGGGTACAATTCCCTACTCCGCTTGCCCCACGCGGGAGAGTGGGAGGTAATAATTAAAAGCCCTAACTTACACTGTCTCTTTGGCTTTTTATTGGGGGTGGGGAGTTGTATGTGCCGCATATTTGAGCCTGTAAAGGGAAAGGTGTGGAGCTCTCTCGTGGTATCTTGGGGCAGGGTACCTACTTAGATGGAGCTGCGCCATGCTGCTGACCTTGTGTGAATTGTCCATTTTTCCGGTGCTCCAAATCAGAAGAGATTTTTCCAGGACCCAAAGGCCTGAGACCCTGAGTGTTGCCTCATTCCTACCCCGAATCTCTCTCTTCATGGGTGGGGGGGTGGGGGGGAGGGAAGAAGGAGGGGAAGGATTCAGCATTCATCCCCCGTGCGGTGGGGGAGAAAGGGAAGCCAGTAAGCTGAGTTGTATCATTAAACTACATTTCCCATAAAGCACCGGTGCCGGCGGCGCTGGCTTTCCATTCCCCCCCCTCGGGAAATGGAGGGAAAAGGCCCTCAAGGCCTTTTGGGAGTTGTAGTCCTAGCCTAAAAGCCGGTGACTTCCTCCGTATCACTGTGGTCAGGTGCCAGGGTTGTTTCCAACCATTCAGAGAGCATCCAGCCCGCAGCCTGGGGCCTAGGGAGGGGAGGGCACTGAGCGCCGGGAACGGGGTCTTGGCTGTGGAAGCCAGAGCAAGGCAAATGGCTTCCCTTCGGTGGGTGCTGGGAAAGTTCTAAGGAGAGAAGAGCCGCTCTGTGACGACATGCAATCCCCGGGAGGTGGGGCCTCGCGTTGCCGCCCAATCAGATGGAGATGGGCTCCTGGGCGGAGCCAAGGGAAGCCCTAGGAAATAGCTTTTTGGGAATTGGGGACCCCCCATGTGGGAGGCTCGGGAAGGGACGCGGCTGAACTACTTTGTAGAGAGCTGATGCCGTGACTCGGGGCCCAGTGGTAGAGCCCACGCTAGCCCCCCGCCCCCAGAAACTTTAATCTTGGTCGTGGGGAACATATTTAGCGCAGAAGGACGTGACCCCGACTTCCTCTTTAAAAGCCCCCCAGAACCTGGACTGAGTTCAGCGGACCCTAGTGTTTGAGCGCCCAGGTCAGGGAATCAAGGTTGGAGAGCGGCTAGTTGGGATGCTTCGCTGCCTAGGGTACATCGGGGGTTCGGTTTTTTTGAGGAGAGTGGGTCCTGCAAATAGGGGGGTCGGAGGGTCGGTCTTAGCCTCGAGGAGGTGGGGGGCGCGGCTTCCGGGCTTTCTCTTAAGATGGCCAGGCTCCTCCCGGGTTTAGAGGCTGGAGCGGGCTGGGGTTGAGTTTTCGAGTCTGGTAGTGACCTGGGGTTGGGTCTGAGGTCGGATGGTGTATTTGGTCTGAGCATTGAGTGTCAGCTTGGGGTGCAGCCGTTTTTGGAGGCTCGGGAAGTTTGCAATTCAAAATGACATCCGTTCCGAGGCGTTGGTAAAACGCAAGGATTGGGAGGTTGGGAAATGAGGTCTGAGTGGGAGAGGTCCTGAATTTAGGGGCTGGGCTTCATGGTCAGTAATGAGAGTAATGAGGGTCATTTGAGGGTCTCCAGGGTTGTGGGGGGGGGCGGTAAAGTTTCACGTTTTGCAGACATTTGATGGACGGTAGACATCATTCTTGGAGGACTTCACGAAGACCTTCGATTTGCAGTTTGGGGACCCGCTGGGATAGGATGGGGGCGGGGGTGGGGGACGCAGCTGGGTCCTTTTTCAATAGCCTTTGGCTTCTTTCCGTGTAGCGTACACTTGCCCTCGCTTCGGGGTGAGGAGTCCCTTCCTGGCCGTGTTGGATTGCTGCGCGATCGGGCCTGAATGGGGCCCGGATTTGCCGTCTTCTTGGCGGCTCTGGCTCACTGCCTGCTCCCCGCGAGGTGCTGTATCATTTGTGACCGTCTGGTCGTCACAGCGCTGAAGTCTTTAGAAAGAGATTACCTGCCCGGCCACCTGGACACCAAGCATCACAAAACCTTCATGAAAAGGGTGCTGGATGCGGTAAAGGATTTTAAGGATCTCCCGTTGGACGAGACCAGCTTTATGGGGGCCATTGGTGAGGGCCAGGGCTGAGAGCCCCCCCTCCCTTCCCCCGAGCCCTGGGACAGAAGGGAGCAGGGGCTAGAATTGTTTGGGCCCCGGTTCAGAGTGCCTGGGGGAATATTCAGGAATGCAGAAGGCTAGAATGCGGATTCCAGGGTTCCCAGGGATACCACAACTCTTTCTTTGCACCCTGTCCAGCAATTTTTTTGTATTAAAAACTCCCAGAAGGCAATGGGGGTGGGTGGGCCTATCCCTTATCCATCCCTTAACCACACCACACCTAGCTTCGCCCCGTGGCCTTGTGGGTATTGTAGTTCTTCCAAGGAGGCAAATCAATGAGACACTGGCACCTGGGGTTCTAGATCTCTTTCATTTCCTCCCCCCACTCGGCTGCCCCCACCAAACGCAGATGAGGACACGCTAGAACAGGCATCCTGGAGTTTTCTGAAGGATCTGAAAAGAATCACAGACAGTGATGTGAAAGGTAAGTGCATGGAGTTTTATTCCACCTACTGGAGGGGATCAGGATGAGGAAAAGTGCAAAACCAGTTCCTGCTAATAGTTATGGAGACGCTATTAAAAAGAATAATCGGGGGCTGGGAAGGTGGCTCAGTGGTAGAGCGCTTGCCTTGTATTCCTGAGGCCCTGGGTTCGATTCCTCAGCACCACATAAGAAAAAAGAAAAAAGCCAGAAGTGGTGCTGTAGCTCAAGTGGTAGAGCGCTAGCCTTGAGCTGAAGAGCTGAGGACAGTGCCCAGGCCCAGAGTTCAGGCCCCACGACCGGACCCAAAAAAATAAAAATAAATTAAAAAAGAATAATCATAGCTGGGTGCCAGTGGCTCGTGCCTGTAATCCTAGCTACTCAGGAGGCTGAGATCTGAGGATCCAGATTCAAAGCCAGCCTGGGCAGGAAAGTCTGTGAGACGCTCATCTCCAATAAACTACCAGAAAACCGGAAGTGATGCTGTGGCTCAAGTGGTCGAGCACTAGCCTTGAGCTGAAGAGCTGAGGGACAGCACCCAGGCCCAGAGTTCAAGCCCCACACCACCAACAAAATAATAATAATATAATAAAGCAAAAAGCTCTGAGGGGCATGGCTCAAATGGTAGATGCCTTACCTTGTCAAGCTCCAGGCCTGAGTTCAAACCTCAATACTGCTGCCAAAGGTGTGTGTTGGGGGGGAGGAGGAACTGGTGAACATTTCATACTCCTGATTGCTTCCCAGGAGAGCTCTTCGTGAAGGAGCTATTCTGGATGCTTCACCTTCAAAAGGACACATTTGCCAACTATGCTATTCAGTTTCAAAAAGAAGGTGAGACAAGACTCAGCCCTGTTAAGTCTCAGAGTTCTGTCCCTCCCTGACTGCTGGCTCCCCTCTCTCTAGTGGGGGGAAAGGGGAGGGGGCTCCCTGAGATCCTTCCCCCTGGAACACCCAGCCCTTCCTGCAACCTTTCTACCATATGATTCATCTCTCTCTTTCTCTTTTATCTTTCTCCCTTTCGAGGCAGTTTATTGTCCCAACAAATGTGGTAAGTCCAAATAATGCCAGTTAGCCCCTTAACCCTCATCCCTGCCACAAATACCAGACTTTCCCCTTTCCCCATTTGAATTTTGTTTCTTTTTTTTTTTTGGTCGGTCGTGGGGCTTGAACTCTGGACTTGGGTGTTGTCCCTCAGCTCTTCAGCTCAAGGCGAGCACTCTACCACTGGAGCCACAGCACCACTTCCTGCCCGGGTTGGCTTTGAATCTTGATCCTCAGATCTCAGCCTCCTGAGTAGTTAGGGTTACAGGTGTGAGCCACCGGCGCCCGGCCTCTTTTTATTTTCTAAGCAGATTTTTAAAAATTCTCCACAGTAGTTAGATTTCTGGGTAATATATTTACTTATTCTTATTGTGTTCTGGTCCTGGGCCTTGAACTCAAGACCACCCAATGCTTTCTTGCTCACAGTTGGCACTTAACTATTCAACATTTTGCTGGTTAATTGAAATTTTCTGCCTTGGATGAGTTTGAACCCAGGCAAGAAGTCATTTTCCATTCTGATTTTGAGGTGTTTGGGATTGAACCCAGGACCTTACCTTTGCTAGGCAAGGGCATCACACCTCCAGCCCTAGAGGGTTCTTTTTTTTTTTTGTCCGTCGTGGGGCTTGAACTCTGGGCCTGGGCGCTGTCCCTCAGCTCTTCAGCTCAAGGCGAGCACTCAACCAATGGAGCCTCCGGTTTTCTGAGTGGTTTATTGGAGATGAGTCTCAGGGATTTCTTTGCTCGGGCTGGCTTTGAACCATGATCCTCAGATCTCAGCCTCCTGAGCGGCTAGGATTACAGGCGTGAGCCACCAGTGCCTGGCTAACGGGTCCTTTTCTATTGGCTTGCTTTCTGCGCAGTCTTGTTAGGGAGGGGCTGTCTTCCTGAGGGGGTCGGTGCCCAAAGCTTCCCCTTCGCCTTGGCCTTGCCCTCTCCTTTTAACCCCGTCTTAGATTGCCAAGCCCAAGCCTTGAACTTGCCCTTCAGGGACGATGTTGCAGGTTCTGATCTGGTGCAACGAATGTGAGAAGCAGGTCCATGCTTGTCGGAAGTCCTACGATTGCGGAGGTGAGGGCTCTGCCCAGCAGGGGAAGTTGTGGCCAGAGGGGACATGGAAAGAGGGATGTGGCCAGAGGGAGTGTGGCCAGAGGGAGCAAGATCCAGTCTAGAAGAGAGCTCCGCAGACTGCAGGCCAGGAAAAAGCGGGCCCCAAACCTGAAGAAGTATCTGGAAGAAGAGTGTGACAGCCACCTTCCTCTCCGCATGCTCAGAGCACAGCGTGAAGGTGCACGAGATGGAGGACATCATCCTGGACTGTCACCTCAATTGGCACCATGCTTCCCAAGGCCTCGCGGACTACAGCTTTTACAGGGTGGGGTCCTGCAACTCCTCTAAACCTTGACCCCATCAGGGCTGTGTGAGTCCCCGGCCCCTGGAACCATTGGCACTTGGATCCATGGGCCTGTACCTGACCCGCCCCCTCCCTCCCATGACTCATGACCTTTACTAATCCACAGGGACCCCCTCCATCCCCTCACCCTGGATTCCTATCCCCTGCACTGAGACCCCCGTGATCTTCTCATCCCGGCACTCCCCTCAAACCCTGAATTCCCCAGGCGTCTGTGACCCCTTGAGCTTGGGTCTAGGTTTGGGGGAACAATTCTGAGACCTTGGTGTCCAAGGGGAAGGAGCCCATCATGACCAAGCCCTTAGCCGGTCCCGACGACGCAGGCAACTATCGCTGCGAGCTAGGCACCGTGAATTCCGGCCCAGCCACGATCATCCGGTACCGAGTCACAGGTAAGCCTGGTATTCTGGGTGGGGATGGGGTGGGCAAGCTTGGGGGGCGTGGCCCCAGCCGGGGCGTGGCTTCAGGCCAAGAAGGTGTGGCTTCCTGTTGTGGGGTGGGGGTGGCTTCTGGGTGTGTGTGTGGGGGCGGGTTTTCCTTCATCACTGGCCAGCACTGTCATTTACCCCTCCCCTGTCAGTGTTGCCCCAGAGGGGGGTGGCCGAGGACTCAATGGGACATGTTGTAAGCCAAGATGAGGAGTCCGACGAGATAAGCCCAGCAGTCGCGATTCCCTGGCACGAGACGACCATCTACCCAACTCGTAAGCCAGAGAAGAAGTTGAAACCTGGCCTTTTAGCGCTAGTGATTGTCGCCTGTGTGTTGGTGCTACTCTGCTGTATTGCCTTGTGAGCCACCCACGGGGGAGGCGGGGCCCTGGGGGAGTGGGTGGGGTTTCCGGTAGCCAATCAAAAAACAGGTCTGGGAGCTGAGCACCTCCCCTAGGGGTGGGGCTTCCGTGGGGGCGGGGCCTCGGTTATGGCTAAGGATCCGGTCGGATTTGTGGGCGGCTTAAGGTGGTATGGTCCTCACTCAAGCACGGCCTAACCTGGTGTCATTATTTCCTCCGCCTCCCACCCCCCCTAGAATGTTTTGCTGGACCAGGAAAAAGAAATCGAAATCCAAGGGTGGCGGGGAATCTTCTGATCAGCAAGAAGGAGGAGGTGAAGGAGAAGGGGAAGGGGAAGGGGAAGGGGATGAGGGAAATGCTGAACAGAAGGAAACTGAAGAGGAAGAAGGCGAGGCGTCCGAGGAACAAGAATAAAGATTGGCTTTTATTTTTTAATTTTGGCCTTAAGTATCTGACTCACTCCTCAGACAGATCCTAACTTTTGGCCCCTGGAGAGGGAAGGTTAGCAGACCCACTTCCGCCTGAGGGAGGAGGGACTGGAACGTGGGACACTAGGGTCCCTGGAGGGGGACAGTGATGGTAACCAATGGGCTGTGGTAGAATCCCAGAATCAAGAAACAGGGCAGACTCAGCCCTACCCAGATCTCCTCCCCCAGGCTTGGTCTCCTCACAGGACGCCCCCTCCCCGCTCTTCCTGCCGGGTTTCCTCTGGCCTTTTCCTGTCCCCCACCCAGTGCTGGAAGCTGGGGCAGAGGCAAAGACCTTTACAGGAGCAGAGGAGTCGGGAATTAACCGAGGCCAGCGGAGCCAGGGCCTCCGGGTGCTGCTGGACCCGAAGCAGGGTAAGAGCCAGGGACCTCTAGGGAGAGAATCTACAGCTATCTTCCATCCTGGGAGCTAACACCAGGTCCCCAACCCTCTCCTTCATCCAGACTCTGCAATCTCAGCTTCTGCCTCTCTTCCCTCTGACTCAGGAGTCCAGATTCCCCTCTCCCTCATCCCACCATCCTGCATCTCGGAGTTGGGGGTCTTATCCACCTTCCTTTAGGGCCATGCTATCTGGTGAACGCAAGGAGGGCGGAAGCCCCCGCTTCGGGAAACTCCATCTCCCTGTGGGCCTGTGGATCAATTCCCCCAGGAAACAGCTGGCCAAGCTGGGGCGGCGCTGGCCCAGCGCTGCCTCTGTCAAGTGAGTAGCCACCATCTCAGGATGCTGGTCCCTGCGCCACCTGCCTCCCCTCTGTCTCTGTGGAGGAACCCTGTCCCTGCTTTGGGGTCAAGGCCTGAATGCAGAAGCGACCTGTGGGGGCTGGGGGATGGGAAGGGGAACGCCAGAGGAGTCGGTGGGACACTGATTGGAAATCAAGGCACCGTGGAGGGGAAGAGCTGGGTGAGGAGACGGGGCCAGGCCAGATGGGCACCCGGATGGACAGCGAAGGCCTGGCACAGGGGGTTGATTCACTCTCCTTCCTCCCCTCCCAGTTGGCCTCGGAATTTCCCTCTGAGGGAACGGAACGGCCTTGATTTTTTTTCTCTTTCTCTCCCTCTTTACCCCCCCTCTCTGTCCACCCCGGGTGTCTCCGGCCTTCCTGCCTCTGCTCCCATCCTTGTCCCATTTTCTCTGGCTCTTTTTTGCCTACCCCATCTCCCGTCTCTGTCTGGATCTCTCTTCGACTCCCCCCACTTTCCCCCCAATCCCCCGGCTGCTGCCCGGGGTGACTCCCAGGTCTTCGTCTTCCGACACGGGGAGCCGCAGCAGCGAGCCGCTGCCCCCGCCCCCTCCGCACGTGGAGCTGCGGCGGGTGGGCGCGGTGAAGGCCGCGGGGGGCGCCTCGGGGAGCCGCGCCAAGCGCATCTCGCAGCTCTTCCGGGGTTCCGGGACCGGGGCGACGGGGTCTGGGGGTGCTGGAGGTCCCGGGACCCCCGGGGCCGCGCAGCGCTGGGCCAGCGAGAAGAAGCTACCGGAGCTGGCGGCGGGCGTCGCCCCAGAGCCGCCCCTGGCCACGCGCGCCACGGCGCCCCCGGGGGTGCTCAAGATCTTCGGCGCGGGGCTGGCATCCGGTGCCAACTACAAGAGCGTGCTGGCCACGGCGCGGTCCACGGCGCGCGAGCTGGTGGCAGAGGCGCTGGAGCGCTACGGGCTGGCCAGCAGCCCCGGCACCGGCCCGGGCGACGCCAGCTGCGTGGACGCCTTCGCGCTGTGCGACGCGCTCGGCCGGCCGGCGACGGCCGGCGTCGGGGCCGGCGAGTGGCGGGCGGAGCACCTGCGCGTGCTGGGCGACTCGGAGCGCCCCCTGCTGGTGCAGGAGCTGTGGCGAGCGCGGCCCGGCTGGGCGCGGCGCTTCGAGCTGCGCGGCCGGGAAGAGGCGCGCCGCTTGGAGCAGGAGGCCTTCGGGGCTGCGGACGGCGACGGTGAGCCTGGGGGCGGGGCCTGGCGTGGGGGGGACCAATAGGAAAGAGACGGGCGGTCATTTGGGGGCGGGGCTTGAACTACTGGAGTGGGGCCTATAGGGAGGCTGGAGGCGGGCCAGTTGGAGCAAATTGAGAGCTTGGCCTGGATGGGCGGGGCTTGGGCTGCTGGCAGGGGGCTGGGTGGGGTGGGGGAGTGGGGGGTGCCCCCCCAGGAGGGAGTCTTGTGGCATCTGCAGGGTTTGGATCTGGGGAGCCCAGCTAGGTTAGAAAATCGAAGAGCAGCTGGAGGAGTAGGCATAGATGGAGTTCTTGAGCCAATGGGCGGGGCCTATGATGCAGGTCGGGGCCTGAGTAATTCAGTGGCTTGGAGCTTGGCAGTGTTGGGCCAGATGACCTGTGCTGACATCTGGGGAGTGGGTCTCTGTGGGAGGCAGGTCTGTGAGGTAAACTGAGGCCCTTTCTGAAGAGCAGAGCCCATGTGGGTGGAGCCTAGGAGGGGGACTTGAAGGGCACGAAGAAGGGCTCCTGTGGGGAGGCCTGGTGTGGAGTGCCTTGTCTGTTTCCAAATCTCCCTTTGGAAGATAAAGTTATGATAGCATTTACATTGTCACACTTGGGTCTCAGTGGTTTCTTTGCCTGATTAACCTAACTGGGGTTGGCGGGCAGGAATAGATGAAAGTTCATTGGGATCATATATAAAAGGGGCTTCCATAATAGGTGCTTAATTAAGGGCTGGAGGCCCTGAATCCCCACTAATACCAAAAGAAAAAAGAGAGAGAGAGAGAGAGACAAGGCTTCCCTACTGTGCCCAACACATTTTTTAGTGGGAAAACAGTGGGACCATGAACAGGTGGGATTGTCATCTTCGCATATCTTACAAGTTTAGTGGGGAGAAACATGGGTTCATTCTTTAGTCTCCTTTCCATTGGATGTCGATTCTATGCCAGGGCTTGGTTTGGGACCAGAAAAAGTTCATTCTGTTCTGCAAGGAGAAGTTAATTTCTACAACTTGTTAGGAAAGGGCGTTGTGGAGAAGGATGTTTCTCTTTTATGCCTAGACCAGTCCCCCGCCCCCCACACCCCGTAGGTGCTCAATAAATGCTTGCTACAATAATACCTTTCTGAACTGACAACTGCAAAGATAGGCGGGAAGTGTGCTCCAGACAACGGGAACCGCATCTGCAAAGTCTGAGCTTAGCCAGTGCTGTTTCCTAAAGGCAACTGACTCTGGCTTCTGCCTCAGTTTCTCCCTATTCTCCCTCTCTTCTCAGGCACGGGCGCCCCCTCGTGGCGACCACAGAAGAACCGCTCCCGGGCAGCGTCCGGCGGGGCGGCTCTGGCCAGTCCTGGTCCCGGGTCCGGATCGGGGCCCCCGTCCGGGTCGGGCGGCAAGGAGCGCTCGGAAAACTTATCCCTGCGACGCAGCGTGTCGGAGCTCAGCCTGCAGGGCCGGCGGCGACGGCAGCAGGAACGCAGACAGCAGGCGCTCAGCATGGCTCCAGGGGCAGCCGACCCCCAGATCGGACCTGTGGACCCTGGAGACTTTGATCAGTTGACTCAATGCCTCATCCAGGCCCCCAACAACCGCCCCTATTTCCTGCTGCTCCAGGGTTACCAGGACGCCCAGGTGAGCAGCTGCCTCCTCCACTCAAAGACTCCTATGTATGCCCCCTCTGCCATGGTAGGGAGGCAGAAAACTACAATTCCCAGAATTCGTTGGATGGGGTGGGGTAGCTCCAAGTACTCCAGTGGTCCCAGCAAGGTTTCAGAGTGGGAAATAAAGGTGGAAAGTAGAGGGCTGGAAAAGAGCCTCCAAGAGGGCTAAATAGGGAATGGCTCATTTCATTTGAAATTTGTGGAAGACATTAACAAAGGAGATCTATTTTAGGGAGGGGGGGAAGAGAGGGCAATTCTGGGGCTTGAACTCTGGGCCTAGACACTGTCCCTCAGCTCTTCAGCTCAAGGCAAGTGCTCTACCACTTGAGCCACAGCACCACTTCTGGTTTTCTGGTGGTTTCTTGGAGATAAGAGTCTCATGGATTTTCCTGCCCGGGCTGGCTTTGAACTGTGATCCTCAGACCTCAAACCTCCTGAGTAGCTAGGATTACAGGCATGAGCCACTGGCACCCGATTTCATGGTAGTTTCTATAAAGAACTTCTAAAGATATCCCAAAGGATATTGAGAGAAATAACTACTGGAAGGGGAAATGTGTTTGGAATAAGGAATAGGTGGGTCCAGGGATAGTTTTTTTTTTTTTTGTCGGTCGTGGGGCTTGAACTCTGGGCCTGGGCGCTGTCCCTCAGCTCTTCAGCTCAAGGCCAGCGCTCTACCACTTGAGCTACAGCGCCACTTCCAGTTTTCTGGTGGTTTATTGGAGATAGGAGTCTCACGGTCTCTCCTGCCCCGGCTGGCTTTGAACCGCGATCCTCAGATCTCAGCCTCCTGAGTAGCTAGGATTACAGGCGTGAGCCATCAGCGCCCAGCTCAGGGATAGGTTTTCTTGGGAAGGCCCATTATCTGATGGAGATGCCATTTAGTGGGGGGGGGGGTTGGAGGGGTGGTGTTTTTGGAAGTTGAGCTGGATGTTTTAAGAGTCAATTCAGAAGAGTTGAGAAGATGGGAGACTCATTTGGAGAAAGATCTCCAGGACTCCATTCCTTACTCTGCTTCTAAAAATCAGACTAGCCAGGCGCCGGTGGCTCACGCCTGTAATCCTAGCTACTCAGGAGGCTGAGATCTGAGGATCACGGTTCAAAGCCAGCCCAGGCAGGAAAGTCTATGAGACTCTTATCTCCAATA